GAGGGGAGGAAGGGAATAAATATTTATTAAGCATGAGCACCTACTATGTGCTATGCACTGTGCTAAGCACTTTATAAATATCTCATTTGATGAGAGTGAAAGGGATGAATACAAGTTTTATACAATGTTCAGGAAAATAAAGAACTATTTCCTGTTTTTCTTCTTTCCTCATGAAAACAACCTAGAAATCTTAATTTGGAATATGGTATGAAAAGAATGTCATTTAAAAAACTTTTATTTATTCATTTTAAAGGTTTATTTTTAGTTCCCAATTCTCTCCCTCCCTCTATGCCCTCTCCTATCCATTGAGAAGGCAAGAAATGTGATATCCATTATACATGTGAAGTCATGCAAAGTATTTTCATGTTAGTCATAATAAAAAAAAAGGCAAGAAAAATAAGGAAAGAGAAAAATATGCTTCATTCTGTGCACTCAGCATTTTTCAGTTCTCTCTCTGGAAGTGGATTGCATTTTTCATCATGCGTCTTTTTGTATTGTCTTGGGTCACTATATTGATCAGAGTACCCAAGTCTTTCACAGTTGATTATCATTATGATATAGCTGTTTCTGTGTACAATATTCTCCTAGGTTTGCTCACTCACTTTGCATCAGCTCACATTAATCTTCCAAGATTTTTCTGAAGCCATCCCTTTCATCATTTCTTACACTATAATAACCCTTCATAATAACATACCACATCTTGTTCAGCCATTCCCTGACTGATGGGCATCCTTTCAATTTCTAATTCTTTGTCACCACAGAGTTTATACACACACACACACACACACACACACACACACACATATACATATACATATATGTGTATATAATGTATATATATGTGTGTATACACACACACACACACATTTGAACATATAAGTCCTTTCCTTTTTCTTTGATCTCTTTGGGATACAGACATACTAGCAGTACTTCTGGGTCAAAGGTATACAGAGTTCTGTAGAACCCGTGGGACATAGTTAGATTCTCCAGAATGGATAGACCAATTCACAGCTCCAACAGAGCATTGGTGTACCTGTTTTCCCACATCCCCTCTAGCATTTGTCATTTTCCTTTTTCTGTCATGCTAACCAATCTGATAGATGTGACGCAGTACTTCAGAGTTGTTTTAATTTGCATTTCTCTAATTAGTGATTTAGAGCATTTTTCATGAATGATAGTTTTGATTTTTTCTATAAACTGTCTGTTCGTATCCTTTAACCATTTATCAACTGGGGAATGGGAAAATAGTATCTTGATAGACTAGATGTAGCATAACTTGCATGGGGGGAAATAGTGCCGTGATTTGGACAAAGAGAAGGCAACAGATTTGTAGTCATACTCTGGCTGAGTCAATAGGAGGAGATCCTGTCCCTCTTTTCTTTTGTAGGGCCACTGGCCTGGCTGTAAACATTACTGTCTTTCTCAAGCTCAGTACCTCACTGACAGAGAAGACAAATTCATTGAAGTCGAACTCAGAATCATCTGATTTTAGAGATGAAAGTGACTTTAGAAGTCCAAACTCTATCTCGTCCAAACCTATCACTGCATAGATGAGGAAAGTAAGGCAAAGAAGCAAAATGACTTGTCCAATGTCTCATCAATAATATGTGGCTGAGCAAAGATTTGAACCTAGGTCTCTGCATACCAAATCTGGTCCCTTTTCTACTCTACTTTTCCATGTCTGGAATTGAAGCATCTTTTTTGGTTACTGTGCTATGCTTTGTCTCTTTTGGCAAGATTTTATTTTTGTGAAAGAACAATGATTTAAGTCTCTGGTTATAAACTGAAGTGAAAATTTAAAAAATGCAAAAATCAAAATGATTATGGTATGAATGATATACTTCTACATTGCTGATTAATGTGAGTGTGCTTGCCATGTCCCTGGACCTTTTTGTAAATACTTTTCAACATAATCCAAGGATGTTACAATGGGTCAATACTATTGAAATCCATAGCAGTGACTGAATTAAGGTAGTTTGTGTGAGGCACATGAGATGTATAATACAACATTTTGTATTTGCTTTTTTTTTTTTTTTAAATTTAAAAACTGAATACAAGCTCCTGGAAGGCCGAGACTTGTTTTTGTATCCCTGGCTGGCACATGTTGCATTGAAGTCACTTGAGCTGGGAAGTGGTTCTTTGTGCCCAGAGGAAGTATTAGAACTAGATTTATATGGAGGATTAAGCCTCTGTCATCTGGTGCTGACCTCAGTTTGGGATTTGACTAGGGTTATACGTATCTGCTTATCCTTTTTTACTTCTAGAGATCTTGTCAATAGGAGAAAAGTGTTTTTTTTTTCCTTCCCCTTAAACAGTCATAGGATGTGAAATTGAAAAGTAATGTTCATGAAATTTCTAAATGGTTTCTTCATGTGGGTCTAAGTGAACCTCCCCTCCCTCGGGGAAGGCAGAGTAGTGTGGTGGAAAGAACACTGATTTGGAGTCAGGAGACCTCTATTAGAAACAAGCTTTTTATTTACTACTTGAACCATATGATCTTTGGAAAGTCACTTTGCTTCTCTCAGTTTCCTCATCTGTAAAGTGAGAGATTTTGGACTTGACTGATGTCTAAATTCCCTATTAGATTTAAATTCTAGGATCTTCTCCAGCTGGAGCATTCTCCCTTTCCCTAACCAATCCTGATGCCTTCAGGAAGAGGAATAAATTTCCCAAACACTGGAATACAGTAACTTCCCAAATTCTGAGATCAGTCATTGCTTTGTGGTTCGATTTTGTTAAAGGTACAAATTGTATTCTTGGTAGTAGCATTACCCGAGATTCAGTAGGCAGTGAGAGGCAATGTATCATAGCAGACAGATTGCTGAACTTTGAAGTCAAGATAAGTTGGTTTCCAATCCTATCTCAGACACTTACTGAGTGCCCCCGGGTACATTACTTCATTGCTCTGGGACTCAGTTTCCTCATCTGTAAAAGGAGGATAATAGTAGCATCTACCTCAAAGAATTGTTATGAAGATGAAATGAGATAATATAGGAAAAACCTTTTCAAAACCCTAAGCTATTATACATAATATATGAATATGTAATATGAATTATTATCACAGTAACTGCCAAACATTCCTTGCCTGGCTTTCACACAGGTGTGAAGCCTGTGTAGACCCAGAGGTATATAAATGACATCTTTTCTTTCTAAATCCCACTCATCTTTCAAGATCCAATTCACCTGCTATCTCCGTAAGGAGTTTTCCTGATTTGCCTGACGTGTCATCTCAAATTCATCTGAACCTCTATGGCAGTTATCACATAGTTTTTATTTGTTTACATGTCTTATCTCCCCATGTAATTTCACTGCAGACTGGGAACAAGTTTTATGGCATAGAGTGGCTGGAATGCTATACTTGGAGTCAGTCTTGGCTACGGATCTTGGGGTTAGGTCTCTGGGTAAGTCACTTTCTGGGCCTCAGTTCTTCACCTATAAAATAAAGGTTTGGGACTAGATTGCCTCTAAGGTCTCTTCAGTCTCTGCACTTAGGAGATTCTTTGATCTCTCACCATGTCCTGTCCATTGCATAAGATCATAGATTCGTTGAATGAATGAATGAATGCAGGTTTTCAAAGCTTGTATGAGCCAAAAGTTTACTTTCCTCCCCTCCCCTCAGGTCCCTAAGCTGATGTTCATTTTCTGGTTATACTCTGCAGAGCTGCTTGGGAGGGCATTGAAACATTAAACGACTTGCCTAGGGTTGAACAGCTAGTCTGTGTGGGATGCAGAACCCTAGTACTCTTGCTCCTATGGCCTGCTGCCTATCATCAGTTGTTTCTTACTAGTCAAGTCAACAAGCATTTATTTATTACACACTTCAGCCCTCTGGGCTTCATTTTTTTCAACTATAAAATGAAGGTGATGGGCTAGATTAAATCTGTTTCTTTCTAGGTCAAATCCTGTAATTCCCTTGAAGCATGTCCAAGGTCATACAACAAATAAATGAGCTGACATAGCTATGTCTTTTAACTCCATGGAAGGCTGATTTTCAAGACACCAGGCTTCATGGCTAACCCCTATTTCTTTACTACATACATATATTTGTAAACATATGTTCACCTATATGTTTGTAACCTTCTCTGTAGAGTCAGAAGACCTGAGTCCAGATTCCATTTCTTCCACTTACTACCAGTGTGTCATTGGGCAAATCACTTACAGTAACTTCCTGGGCCTCAGTTTCCTCATCTGTAAAATTAAAAGGTTGGACTATATGGCCTCTTAAGTCCTTTCCAGTTCCAGATTTACGTCTTATAAGAACTGCGTCTATTGACACGATTAGAGCAGCAAATAAAACCAGCCTTTCCATTCTGGAAAATCTGGGATCTTCCTCCAGGTTTCCCTGGAACATTTTAAAGTTCTTTCGTATTGCACTCCCTGGATGAAATCTCAGTGTGGTGTTAAGGAAACTTCTCCCCGCTAGGAGAATTGTCCAAGTTAGGGCTCTAGCAAGACCAACGCCACCGGGCTTAGACAGGCTAAGGCGCTAGTCGCATACCTCCTTTATCTGCAGTGGCCCCTGGACTCTGAAAGCCATCAGAGAGCCAGCCTCAGGGTGGGGTAATGAGACCAGCGATTGTAGCTGCTTCCTAGAGAGGGCTGCAGCGGCTCATCCCCTTCACTATAGGGGCTTCGGAGTTGGGCTGGACTCCGAGCACAGCGGTTGCTTCTGCAACTGTTGCTCTCCGTCCGGGTTCCCCTATTCCAAAGCTCCCACAGCTCGGCCGTGCCTTTCCAGTCTTCCTCAACCTCCACCTCCAACTCGAAAACCTGGAAAAGTTCCTCCAAAGCCGCCAGCCTGAAGAAAAGCCACGTTCGTGTGGCTCTGCTCCAGCCCGCCTCCCCTCCCTGACACCCTCCGCCCCCACCCCCTACTTTGGATTGCTGCTTCCTCCCGGACTGCGTGGCTTTCCTGTAGCTGGGCGGCGCGCTGCTGGTGGAAGGAGGCAAGGCTAGCGAGCCGGGCGCGCGGGGCAGAAAGGTAAAGGCTGGAGGCTGGGCAGCGTGTTCGCAGCGCTGAGGAAGGCGCCGACTGAGCGGGCGGGAACGGTGCGCTGGAGGAGCTGGTCCACATGCCTTGCAGCCGGCTCTCTTTGTTTTGTGCGCCGGAGGAGGGACGCTCGTATGCTTTTAGCATTAGGACGGTCGGTATAACCATGCACTGTGGACTGGGCGAAATTTGTACCGAGGGCTGGAACCCCAGTCGTCTGTCTGTGTGAGCTTGTGAGCTTGTGAGTGTGTGTGTGTGTCTGTGTGTGTGTGCGCACGCACGAGCGCGTTCGTTTCTTTCCATAGATAGTTTGCTTTCTCTTCGGAGGTGAATAAGGTTTCCAAGAGAGGGGGGCATTTACTTATCGACAGATTCGTGCTAGTACGCAAAGTCCTTAAGCTTGAAGACTGGGTCCTACAAGGTTCTCAAACTTCGGGCTGGGGGTGTGTGTACGTGTGCATGAGTGTGTGTCCGCCTTTTTCTACTAGGAAATCTGCTGTCATAGTAGTATGCCCCTCCACCCCACTCCACCCCTCAAGTCATAACTGTAGGAAATGTATTGTTTCTCTCCACTTTAATGAATTCTTCAGTCGGGGCTGAGAAAATCTTATTGCCAAGAGTGGAGCGAATACCCTCGCACACGCTCTGCCTGGCTTGTCAGAGAACTCCTGATTTGATGTTTTAAAGCTGCCCCCAGGTACTCTTTAACGAGAGCGGGCATTTCCGCGTTCTGGGGATGTGCATGATTGTAGCTGGACATCGTGGACTTTGGTCAGGTTTGGAGGAAGCAAAAACTGTTTGGATAAGTCGCGGTTTTTTGATTCAGGCGGAAAGTCCGAGGCTTTGGGGAGCTTATTTCTTAAGTGAAAGTTGGCGGAGGGTGGGGGTGTGTGTGCAAACGACTTCTGTTTAAGTACTTTCTCCCTTCTTGGAAGCTGGTTATGTCAGGTGTTTGTGAATGTCGGCTGCGAGCACCACACCATTTTAAAAAATAAGTGTCACCCAGGCTTGAACTGGGTTACCTTTTGGCCCCAGAAATCCAGCGCAGTGAATCACACCCAGGAATGAAAAGGAGTGGGCTACGCTGTATTATTTACATTCTGTGGAGAGCGGTTGGTCAGAGTTATCCCTTAGAAATCATTCCCAGACTTAATGTAATGAAACTTTGGCTTTTTGAGTGTTGCCAAAGCAAAGTTTATTACCCACCAATTGCCTTTTATCGCCCCGGACTCCGGTTTGACATTTACAAAAAAAAAAAAAAAAAAAAGTGTGCCGTCTGTAAGGCTCTGGTAAAGTTCGTTCTAAGTGTTGTTGGTTGTTGACACTGTAATAAACTGCCGTAGAAGTTATGTTTGTGGGTGCTTGGGAGTATGTAGTGTCTGAAGCCAGAACCATAACAGTCTCAGGAGCTGACCTGTGACTCTCAGACACCTGTACAAAATGTATGAAGGTTGCTTGGGGTTTATGCCTATCAATCTGCTTAAATAAATGCTCATATTTAAAGAGGATTGAAATAAATCTGGAAGTTACCTAGAATTGTGACAGGCACGCCATTTGCATTTCTAAGATTGTGGCAACTACAGTACTTTGTAACATTTCAATAGCCTTCTCCCCTCCGTTTTTCTGAATGCTATTTGTTCTGGAAATGGATGAACACTCTCTCCTATATGAAATTAGTATTTGGAAATGAATCCAGCTTTTTGGGTATCTTCTAAGTGTTCAGCAGCTGAGTGTTAGTTCCAATAGAATGTTAGCTCCTTAAAAGTGTTCTGTAGCTAAAACAAAGCTTTGATAATAACAACAAATAACTAACATTTATATTGTGCTTACTATGTGCCAAAGGCTACAATTATTATCTCATTTGATCTTCCCAATAGCCCTAGGAGATAGGTATTATTACTGCCCACGTTTTACAGATGAGGAGACTGAAGGAGCAGTGAAGTGACTTGCCCAGGGTTACACAACTAGTAAATGTCTGAGTTGGAATTTGGAGTCCCCTGGCATTCTATCCAGTGCTGCCTACTTACCCCAGAGTAGTCACCTACTGTACATAGTAGGTACAATAATAAACGCTTGTTAAATGAATGAAAGAATGCTCAGCTCTGTGCTTGTAGGAGAAGGAGTGGGATACGGAAGAAAATCCAGCCTTCTACAAGAAGCCTTTGCCTGATTCCACCTTGATACTAGTGTCTTCTATCTAAGATTATTTTGCATTTGTCCTGCATCGATATTGTTTATACATAGTTGTTTGTATATGGTCTCCCCTATTAGTTTGTGAGTTCCTTGAGTGAAGGGACTATCTTTTACCTTCTTCCTGTCCTGGGTACTGTACAGTACCTGGCACATAGGAGGCAGTTACTCAATGTTGGTTGACTTGATTTGAAGTAAACCCAGGAGAAGCTTACAGTATATTTGAGGCAAATCAAGGAGGTGGTGTAGTAGTAGATTGTTGAGTGAGGAGATTGGGGTTTCAGCCTTGGCTATGACACTAGATGACTGTGTGAACTTTGGCAAGTTGTTCAATCTCTCTGAGGCTCAGTTTCCTCTTCTGCAATATGGGAATAATAGTACTTTCACTACCTGACTTCAGAGTGGTTTCAAGAAGAGTGAAAAAAAGTACTAAGGAAATGTGAGTCAGTATTCATTTGGTGCTACATTGTGGGCCATAGAAAAGTGCTAGTTAATCTTGTAAAGTCTAGAGCAAAAATTGGTTTCAAGATCAATAAGCAGGGATTGTCTCAGAGGCTGATCAGAAATGAGAAAATACTGCCTTTACACAGGTCTTTCTTTTCTGAATAGACTTTTTTCCCCCCTTCACAAATGTGATAGAATTCTCCTGACCAGGGCCATCGAATGGCCTAACAGATGAATTCTTACTGAAAGCTATAATCCCACTCACCCCTGAAAACAAAGAAACTGCAGAAAACTATTAACTCTTGAATGTAAGATGACTTCCAGCTGAAAATAGCAGTTGTGTTCCCTTACTATGCCTTTGTGGGAAAATGGAAAGAAAATGGACCTGATTTGGGATCAGGGGACTCAGGTGTGAATTCCAGATTTACCTATGTGACCCTGGTTAAACTACTTCATCTTTATGAGGCTCCACTCTCTGCCAAACAAATGACTTCTAAGATCCTTTTTCTCTAGTTGCTGTTCTTATATTGAGCTGTTATTATATCTTTACATTTGAAAAAGAGCCATCCTTTTTAGTCCTGTTTGCAGTTAGCAGAGGTTAAGCAGTATATCTGGATTTCACTGGGTGCCTGTGAATAGGCTGTGAAGAAGAAAGGAAAAATGGAAAATAGGATAGGATGAGACTGTACAAGAAGATGAGGAGGTGGAGAAATGAGCATGATTAAGCTTTAAAGAATTGTCATAGGTCACTTGTTTATCAAGCTGTTCATCATTAGTTGACAGCTAGGACACATGTAGCTGATAATAATCTCTGACAATTTCTCATAATTCTGGTTCCTTAAGGATAAGTAAAGCTTCTAAAGACATATATGTCTCCATTTCCCACTTTATTCAGTAAGATAGTCAATAGAGTTCCCTCTGGAATCTCAGAGCACTTTGTTTGGAAGCGCTATAGTGTCATTATCAGATAATATTATATTATTGCTGTTATATGCTTTATTAGGGCAGGAGACATGAAAGATCTAAGATTTGCCTTTCTCTCATTTCATCAGAGTACTTTGCCCCCTAAATTTTGTTATTGTTTAATTGTTTCAGTGCCTGACTATTCACGACTCCATTTGGGATTTTTCTTGGTAAAGATACTAGAGTTTGTCATATTTTTTCTCCAGCTTGTTTTACAAATGAAGAATTGAAGCAAATAGTAAGTGACTTGCCCACGGTCACATAGTAAGTGTCTGAAGCCAGATTTGAACTCTGGAAGATCAGTCTTCCTGACTCCAGTTCTGGCACTCTATCCACTGTACCATGTAGCTGCCAAAACCTGTACAGACGATGATGTAAAATCTTTCAAAAGTCAGTCAGCCACATGGACGGATGTGTAACAGGATGGAGGGATCAACCTTTATAAGTAAGGGGGTTAAAAAGGTTGACCATTTTCACATATAGACACATAGCTAGATTATATTGCCATATTTAATCTCATCATTCTGAGTCCTTGAGCAATTCAGTGATATGTTAGAGTTCCAAATAATTGAGTTCAAATTCCGCCAAACTCTGCCTAGTTTTGTAACCTTGGGCAAGTCACTTACTCTGTGTCTGCCTGAGTTTCCTCTTCTGTAAACTGGAGATAGTAATAGCACTGTACTCCCAGGGATGTTATGAAGATAAAATGAGATATTTGTGAAGTACTTTACAAGCCTAACATTTCTTATAAATGCTAACTATTATTATCATTATTTCTGATAAATTCAGAGACTTTAAGAATTCATGACCTGAAGGAATGAGCCCTTATTATTGTAGAGTACTGAAGATGAAGAAAGTGTAGCTAGTGTTGAAAAGTCAGAAAGTCCTAAGCTGAAATCCTCCCTTAAATACTTACTAGCTGTGTGACCCTGGACAAATCACTTAACTTCTCTAAACCTCAGTTTCCTCATCTGGAAAATGGTGGGATAATAATAGGACCTCCTTCAAATGGTTGATGTGACAATCGAATGGGAAAGTATATGTAAAGCTAACTTTTCATGACCCCATTGGGGTTTTCTTGGCAAAGATACAGGAGTGGTTTGTCATTTCCTTTTCCAGCTTCATTTACAGGTGAGGAAACTGAGGCAAACAGTGAGTGTTAAGTGTCAGGGGTCATATTTGAACTCAGGAAGATGAATCTTCAGACCCAGCTCTCTATCCACTGCGCCACCTAGCTGCTCTTGCAAAACTTACAGCACATGTAAATGCTAGCTATCATGTAGGCTATTGGTTTCAGTCTGTCTTGATGTTCTAGAATTGGGGCTGTCTTCAATTATTCTAAAATAAATACCAGATATCAACTTGTTTACTGGCTGTGCTTCCTTTAAAAAAAATTAGTCCCAGATATCAGTTTATTTACTTGGTCTTTGTTTTTCTAATAAAAATGGAGTGCAAATTTTCCTCCTCATTTACTTGATTTCCATTTTTACCTGTGTGTTTTTGGAGAATAGGAGGAAACCATTGCATATTCGGCCTCTGCATCAGGAAACCTAGCAA